GGGGTCTCATCGCGGGGCTGCTCCGCTGTCATCTGACAATTAACACCTCTCGGGAAAGGCGAGAGAGCTCGACGTGCTGAGCGATTGTTTGCCGCAATAAAGACACGTCGTCGACAGGGGCTCCGTTGTGGAAACGTGCCTTTTCGCCGTACAAAACCGCGCATCCGCGCTCCCCTTCTCCTCCTCTAGTCACTCTTTTTGTCTCTCTTCCATACGGTATCAAAGAGCGTGAATTGTGAATTTTTTAGTAAAGAGAAAAAAAAAAGAATAGCTCACGAGCTTTACAATTGGGAATGGATTTCGAAGTGAGTAAAAAGAGACGACTGATAGGACGTATGATCTGAATCGACGATTTTCAGCTAACTTTTCAACAGAGAGAATTGCTTTCATGATATAAATATAGAATTTATTGTCCATTTTGTACGGCGTCACGTTACGCGTAACTGTAAGTTGGACCGAAAGAAAATTTTTCCCATTTTTTGTGCTCATTTTGATGCTATAACGAAATTTTTATTACAAGGTGTTTGTTACAAAATGGCACGAATAATTCTTTTTCGTATGAGAAAAAGTAAATAAAAAATGTTTTGGTGAAATCATCAGTTCTGGCTGAAGATTAAAGATGTGAGAAAAAAATTTCAAGCGAGTTAACCGAGGGACCTAAATATTGTAGTCCTACTGAGATTTTTTTTCCTTACTCACTTTCCCTTGCTGAAAAGAATTAAACAGATTGCCTTATCAGAGCCGGAAAGTAGGAAAGGGAAGACAGAACAGGTTTATTCAATTTGTTCGAGGAAAAGTACGTTACCTCTTCTTGATTGGCGAAACGTGCCGAGGACTCCACGAGCTATATTCCCCTCTACGCTAAAATCTTCTTTAAGCTTTTCTGTTCTATATGGCATATGAATTATTATTCTTTTTTTTTATCAGCTGTATGAATTTTATTAACTTTTTAGATTCATCTTGATGGTCAAGGGCACAGGAACTTATTTAGTGTTATTGGCTCAACTTATGCGTATGTGACACTCTAACGAGGACTCTCCCAAATACTTAAAATTTCACAAATTTTTAATCAAAAATTACTTGAATTTCGAATTTTTAATGCTGGTCTTACCAAACACCAATAATGTTTCAGCAAAAGTAGTGCATTTTACTTAAAAAATTACCATGGACAAAAAATTCAGAATCGTAGATGGGATGATGAACTTGTTAATGGTTCCAAAATGTACATAATAATCTAGCTCTTTAAAAGTTATTGTAACTATAAAGTGGTACTTCTTGTCATAGAAATATGATATGAATTAATAATAAGTTAACATATGATATACTTTTTGTATAAAAAAAAATTTTTTTTTTGTAGCCATCTATGCAATGTTATCCAATTCAATTAACTTTTGGACAACTTTGCGAGTCAAGAAATGTTAACGGTAAAAGATGATTACTGCAGAAAGTATAGATTATTTTTTATTCATGTCAACAATTGAAGTCATTTCATTGCTAAATTTAATTTTTTTTCAATAAACATCCTGAGGGATAAAAGTAAACATACATTAGAGAGTTATCTTCACAATTCAGGCTAATTTGCTCGTATAACTTTATGTTACCAAGCTTATTGCATATTTTTTCCAACTTCAATGATCTTCTTATTTTCCTACACGTGAACATTGTACATATTCTCTGACCCTTCGCTTTCCAACCTCCCATAAATTCTCTCGTCTTTTGTTTGTTGCATCGATAATGCCACTTCAACCGAGAAGCTATCCATAAAATGCAGGGGTCAACTACAGCACCACCTCACCGTTCCATGACTGGGGATCCAAGAGAAATCGATAGACTTCCAGAGTACTTATATTTCCAGTGAAAATTTCAAGTATTCAAGATTCTCGCGGTGCTTTTGACTACTCCGGAGCAAGCTCGTGAACAATGTTTGCGATGCATGGCTGTTGGATCCACCGGTACGTCACCACCGAACGAAACTATTCGTCGAGCTCTGACAACGATGTCACTACAGTATTCTTGTACAACAAGCTCTTACGAAGAGCTAGCCCATGTATCGAATTAAAAATTTTTATGTAGTATAGGTTGAAGCTGTTTATGTGATTGACTTTAAAAACAAAAAACTGCTTATTTTTCGTACGATGGTAAATACACGATTGGAAATTTGTGAGAATTATAATTCTGTAACGCATAATAGCTCTACGAAACGTTTTATTATTTTCCACATGCAGAGCTTTCATGCAGGACTGCAAACTGATCAAAAGCTATTACAAAATGCTCAACAGTTGTGCCAGCGTTCATTCTGTTTCTGGGTTGGTCAACCAAAAAATAAAGATATTGATATGTCAATAGAGACTTTATAAGTTCTGTTGTCAAAGTGGACACTTGACTTTACGAAATCGTATGTGTCGATTCAACTCAAGTTTTCATAATTTATGTTGATACTATTGTCTATTTTAGTAGATAATGTTAAAAATTTTATGAATTTCTTCATGGCATAATTTTTACATGCAGCTCAGAAGTAAATAAGTTAAGTCATGTAAAGCCTGATATCTAGACATAAATTATATAAAGTCTGTTGAATTTTTTATAAATTTTTTCTGTTTTGATCAAAAATTTTTCGAATACAAATAATCATAATTCAAACTTTGTTTTTGTTTCAGGTGAGTTGATATTTCTCGTGTGACGTATCCAAAATATCTGATAAAAATAGAATAAAATCACGAAAGTTTGTTGTCACTGCAGATGGGCTAAAGGAATTTCATACGATAGAATAGCCATTGAATAGTGGATTTCTTTTATTATTTTTTATAATAAGCCGTTGTCTTAAATTATTGATACTGCCAGTCCAAAGCTTGGACGGAGTGTGACATAGAATGGATTTTTTACCGTTTCAAACAGCACTTATCTACCGTGAAAAATAGTTATGTTTATTTCACTTGGATAATTAAAAAAAAAAAAAAAATAAATCGGATGTCAGAAATAAACGATTATTTAAATTAACACATGAGTTTCGATCGATTTTAAAAACAGTTGCTNTTTTGTATTTATGTTAAAGTTCTCATTGAGAAAAACGTATCATTTACTTTCCCATTTAGTACAAGCTTGTTATCTTTTTTTTTAAAGTATGGGACATCTTTTTTACTTTTATTTTGAAAAATGTTGGACTATTTATCTACATTCACTTGTTTCAAGTTCATAAGAACATTTTACGTATTTCTAGTACCAAAAGAGCTGCTACAATCAAACCATCTTCGAATCGACATTTCACAACCTGCAGGGCCACTACTCCGGAACAACCATCCCAATGTAAATCATTTATGTGTATGTACCATCCCAGAGCGGACGCTGCGATGCGCGGAATCTGATATAGTCGAAAGAGAATATTGCGTTTGGTCATGCGTGCGGGGCCGAGGGTTGGAATACCGGTGCGTGTCGCCTTTGAAAATTCATTGAAACTATTTATGGGGAACAAATATCTCTGATCCATTGCTTTCTTCCGTAATTTGCGCGTGAACAGTTGCCAATGTGGCTTGTCACGAATTTCTTCTTCGCCACGTGCTACTCGAATTCGTGAAATTGTTACTCGTACTTTTAGCGGAATGCAAGGATTTTCGGATGAAACGATGAAGCGATGTATAACTAGTTTGAAATGTTTGCGGTAGAAACTCCGCGTTAATTGGAAATTTTTTCGATTCCGAGGGTAGATGGACGTAAGAAAATTAAGGTACTCTAAAAAAATAGTAACGAAAACGGAAATGATAGAATTTCTACATCAGTTGGACTAGAAATTAAACGAAACCACTACGAATGTAATAACAAAAAAATATTATACACAGAGCCCAGCTGCAGAATGTGTATTGCATTGGAGAGGTTGTGTTTTTTTATACCACAACCAATACTGTTGATACAAAGGGAGAACCCTTGAAATCTGAGCACTTTTTTTTCAGTAAACTTGACAGCGTAACTTTTGTTCTAAATTCTAAATATAATCTTCCAAGTGACGATATCTGTAAAAAAGGTACTAACACAGTTTTGTACTATATGTATCATCTCTTGTTTTATACCTTGTCACATTTATGGATAACGACCATACCGTACAATATTAGCAATCTAGGCTAAACGATTGTTGTTAAACAAGATCTGTTTTCTCGTTTAACTCTCCCTGCACTATTACTAATTAGTTGAGAGTTCAGCTAATTAATCCATAAAGTGGTTGAAATAAAAAGAGGGCCTGGATAAAGAGATCGTAAAACCGTTATGTTGCATGGTTTTCATTTAGGATGTGTAAACCACAAAATTAATGGACAGAGAGTGAGAGAGCCAGGAAAGAAAATATCATCGAAAACGCAACTAGAGTCAAGCGCACGTATTTCCAGAGTAACAGAACAGGCACGTGTTTGCCGTTCCAGCTCGAAACTCGCCTAAACACGTATCAGATAAGCAGACAAGCTTCCATCAGCCGCATTACTCAACTGATTTGCCGCACTGTAGCATCAGAACCTGACACGCACACGCGTCTGTCTATGTACCTACTTGTCGTTCTCGGGAGGTAACAAACAAGATATTATACGCACGCAGAAGTGTAATACGGAAAGGCTCTACGATGATGGGACAACGACGGGGCAAAGCTGTTGTATGTCTACGCAGTGAAATTGTTCGCGTTGAATTTGATTGTACTTTGCAGTGCTGCATTTTTTTTAAATATGCGTCAAAGTAAACCAGCCAGAGGGTAGAGGAAAAAAAAAAATTTCTATCGGAAAACTTCTGGAAAAGTCAAGATTCTTTATTTCCTTTTTATACATTTTTTAACTTACTAAAATACCCAAGCCATACACAAGGACGAATCTTGTCTTTAACTCATTTTACTTACTCAAAAGTGCAAGGAATTCAATAAGGTGAAAGGCTTACATTAAAATAGCAATCTTTATTTAAACTAACATTTGCACAGAGTAAAAACTATTGAATCAGGATTTGAAGATAATTCTACAAATAATCACGGAAGCCTAGTCAAGTGGAAATGTACTCTTACCACTAGACTTAACAATCTGTAAGAATTCAAAATAATAAAATTATTTGGAGCTTATTAAAAAAATCTTATCATGTTACAAGTGTTACAACTCAACCAAGGATTTTTTATAAAATTCTTAAAAATTTCAAACATCAGAGAATTTGAATTATACGCTAAAAATTTTCAAGACATCAATATACTTTGGTTGTTTTAACACAAATTGAAAAAACATGTTTTGACTAAGTAATTACTACTAATAAGTAACTACTGGAAGTAATCTAGAAATTTAAAAAGCTAAATTCTTTCATTAGCTGTCTATCTTGAAAGCTTCAAAAAACTATTATAGAAAAGGGAGTGGGAAGGGTAAGGTTTTTGAAATATTAGAAAAACATTTCTTTCAATACAAGTTATTAATAAAAAGACATACGATTTGTAAAGAGGGCTGTATAGAATATAAGAGGGAGGGAAGGTCAAGGGTTTGCGTTGGGGTCCCAACTAACTATAAAAATTTTATGAAGAACTGTACATGTACGTACCATTTCATGTGAATTTGTCAACTAAAAATATGTGGTTAAAACAACTTTTGATCTTATGACAGTGTGCTTCTTTATTAACTATACTTAAAAGAAATAGTCCAAAGAGCTGCGATCTGGAACAAAAAATTTTTTTAAATAGCTAAAAAAATTTGTTCCTCATTACAGGCAGGACTAAGGCATGCACACTGAGACATTATATTCAAAATCATTAATGCGTATCTTCAAAATTGGAACTTTATTTCTCTTACAATCAACAAAGCTATGTTAGTGTACAGTTTTTAACTACTGAAAAAAAAACGGATTAATAGTAAAATAAGTAAAAAAATTAATATTAAAAGTATTGAGAAACACAATTTTTGTTTTATGGGATTTGAATCATCAAAAAACGGATTAAAAATATTATCGACTTTGCAACAATAGTGATGAATATAGCATCCACCCCATCTGCCCAAAAGTGTGGTCTTTTGTAGAGAGTCAGCTATTTTATTCAAATCTCTCACGTTGAGCTGAGAAAAAATTTTCCACATTACATGATCTGGTAGATTTTTGTAATTAATTTGTGCAAGGATACCACCAAGAGCTTCCTCCAGACAATTTTTTACGGGATGAAACAACTTTCTCTGCTCTATCACGAGCTCGATCCGTGTTTTTATGGCATAATCAAAATACCTGAGTTTGTTTCCCTTCTCAAGCGACGAATAAAACCTTGAGAGAAAATGGAATTTATTGTCATTATTATTCACCGATTGCACAAGCAATTCCAACGGTGTAGTCATCACGTCGAAGATGGACATGTTGCCAACTTTGACTTGCTTCAATCTATCGAGCGTCCTGTTACAATCGTTGAGAACCAGCGATATTTTTCTATCGTTCACAGAGAGTGTCTTCACCGGAAGTAAGACCGTGTGTGATTTGTTCATACGCAAGTCAATTGTATAGTAAAAAATCAACAGGCGTGTAAAGTCGCTTATGTGTAAATTCCTTTGGATCAAGTCATTAAACGCGTCCATCATTGCTCGAACTACAGTTGCGCTGTCGTTAAACTCCCACAACAAGCACGCCACTTTGATGTCACTACTAGTACATTCGTCGATGGAAAAACGAGATATGCTTGCGCTGAACCGACTGCAAAGTAAGAAAAATGAGTGATCAGTCAATATTTGTTTTTAACTGTGGTGGTTCTTTCATGAAACGATTATGAACAGAGTAACATGAAACCTTGAGGAGTCATTTACTAAGTAACGATACACTACCCTTCAAAATTTCAGAGTAGGCTGACGAATTTAAATGCAAGAAAATTAAATTCTAAACATGTGCTCTTATGGCAACTAAGCATTTTTTTACTGAAAGTTTTAGCCTAGTTATTTATTTACTGAACATAATCAAGTAAAAAACTGATACAATAAAGCTTACGAACTTTTAACTATACTGCCATCTTGAAATATATATGTTCATGGACTTAATCAAAAGGTATTGAAATAAATACAGGCATACATTTTCGTGTCCTATGTTAAAAGCATATAAGTAAGAATCAACAGCTGGTATTTTGAAGCTAAGCGTAAATTTTACATAATCATTCCTACGAACTTTTATAGCGGATTTCATGATCTAAAACTTTGAATCAGTGCTTAATTTGACTCAATAAACGATATTTACAAAAATTCGTTTGAAATTTAAGAAGCGTTTATAAGTATAAAGTTAATAGTTGCACGTATGACTCAGGAGTCATGAAAGAACTAACTTAAGTATACAATACATTTGTCATTAGGTAACAAACCTGTCAGCTCGAAACCCAGCCTCGAGGAGCATTTTGACGATTTTGTACTTGCTGGACTCGATGGCTGTCAAAAGCGCTTTGTTGACGTCTTGGGGATAGTTTTTTCTCACATCATCCATGTAATCCATGTCGAGTAAACGATCAACCACGTGCTCGTAACCCAAAGCTATAGATACGATTAAATCATGCAGCTTACTTTCGTTACCATTGCAGGGCATGTGTATCCAAGGCATCGCTCCTGCGACCGTGTAGTCTAACGTTGTCGCTTTGAATCCTGTCGCTTTGGCCAACATCAGATTCACTGTGTTCAAATCGTAAATTTTTGCAGCCATAAAAAACGATGTTTCGTTAAAATCGTTCTGTGCACGATGATTCGATCCTGAAAATAGAATTTCACTATTATTCCTCATTTCATGGGACAAAGTTAACGAAAGACTCATGTTCATCACATCAATGAAGGAAAAAAAAAAGAACCAAGTTTAATTTACCATACTTGGCTAGTAGCCCAGAAATCTCGTCGAACTTTTCATCCAATCTTCGTAACCTTAAAACCGAGTGTAATGGCGTCTCACCGTATCTATTCCTGACGTCAATGTTTTCTCCTTTTTTCAGTAAAGCTTCGATTTGCGTGTTATTCCCGCTACTAACGACTTGATGGAGATTCGTGTCAGCCATTCCATCATTAAAAAAAACACCTCGTTCGTGCAATATTAAAAATATCAAGCATTTGCCATTGTAGCAGTGATGCTTTTCAAACCTTGCATAGTAAAAAAGAGCTTCCAATGAAAATTTGCACGAGGCGATATCGTGTGCGTTACTCAGCACGTACTCAATGAATTGCTTATTCTGCGGGCTCCTCGACGCCAAAGAGGTGAAACATGCTTTCAGTAGGCTATTGTAGATGTTTTTACACTTTCCGCTGTCAAGTATCAAAATTTGTGTCAAATAAATGAAAATTGTGGCAAATATCAATGTCCTACCCAGATTCAATGAGCCTCTTCGTACAATCAAAATGTACTTTTGCAACGGCAACATCTAACGGCGTCTCATCGTACTGATCAGCCAAGGTGGGGTCGGCTTTGTGGCCCAACAGCAGTTCTGCGATCCCAACAAGGTTTGTCCGCGCCGCGTGATGCAGTGCGGTTCTGTTACGCCGATCCATGATGTTGGGATCGGCCCCACTCTCCAGGAGAAGCTTGACTCCGTTTGTCTGTCGATTTATCAATGTTGGTATTTTCGTACGTATAGTTCATGAAAACAAGACATACCTGCTGTTTTGCGACCGCAATGTGCAGTATCGTTTCATAGAAGGGCCCTTGTGCGTTCAAATCCGCCCCATGGTCGATGAACAGTTTTATCATGGGCAGTCTGTTGTCAGCTTGGGCGAGATTGTAATAGTAGACGTTGTCATAGACAACGTGCAGAGGCGTCCTCAACTCGAAATTCCATTCTTCGACTAAAGAGGGACAACTAAGAAATCAAGAACAAAATGTAGGAAATCTTTTTTTGTATCAGCAGTATTTGAATAATGCATTGGGTGTAAGGTTCTCATTTTGCTCACTAATACTTGAAGTTGTTACTTCGGGCATAGAATTACGTAGAGGTGGGTGATCGAAAGCACACTTGGATGAATTTGTTGCACCCATAGTAACAATTAATTATCACATTCATACGGGTAATCATTATTTTTACATACGTATTTTACAATCATTCGGACGAGGTGTGCGTATTGTGGAGCTCTGCATTGCTGTGTTACTCTGCACGTACGTGTCATCGTCATTTTTATACTAAAACATCCTCTTATATTTATTGCAAATCAATCACTTACACATCAACAAAGGGAACATCTTATTAAACTTGTTTTCCGAAAAATTGGGATCACGATTAGAAATTCGCCTACAAAAAGTTACTATCCCAGAGGTGTGACGCAAGTAGTAATGGCCGAGTCGGTATTCGTAAGCACCTGTTACCAAGCTCTCGAGTTACAAGAACCACAGTCGAAACTACTAGATTACGATGATTGCACAGTGAATCATATAACTACTTTCTGCACTTGCTACGTAATGACGTACTATTTTCAATGATTCTTACCTTTGAAGAATTTTTTGAGCCACTTCGACATTGCCTGCATGAACTGCTTTGTGGAGATCCATTTTGTTTTGATTGTCCGCCATTTTTATCATTTTTTTTTATTTTTCTTGGTTCAGTATAATCACAGTGAAAGTTTATTCAAGAACCCAAACTATATTGGCAGCTAGAAATACGACAAGAAATATCCTGCAGATTTTACTGTCTAAACGTTTACCTTGTATTTAATAATTATTGACAATTATGTCTCAAGAGTATAGTGGCTGTATCACCAAGAAAGAACAGTGCTACCACTGTAGTAGGAACTTTTCTTTAAAAAATACGTGGTAACGATAAGAACAACAAACTCATTAACGATAATCACTTTGTCATTAACTTTTTGTGGTGTATGTGCGTTAGACGTACATATTGGTAGCTGAATGCTGTCAATGTATTTCCGTCCAATATTGGAAAAAATAAAACTAAGTAGCACTTAATAATGCACGATTACCCTGCAGACGAAATTTAGTGATAAACCATTTCAAGGAGCATAAATATTTCCAAGAGTAATTCGCTAACTCGAGTTTCGAGAGCACCTTCGCGCATTTAAACTCGCTTAAATTGTTTCTCGTGCTTGCAAAGCATAGATATATTTCTCGGGAGTGAGCCGATGAAGCTCAGCCTTGTAAGATACATGTGGCAAGATCCAAGGGAAAATATGATAAAAGAATCGTAACTTTGCAGAAACGCTGCAGTTGTGGTGAGTTTCGAAGTCAAGGGGAGAGGAGAAAAGTTAGCGCGAGACTTGCGTTGAATGTAAGAAAGGTAATATGAGAGGTTAACACCCAAGACGTGCGTCCTCAGTCGCGCATAATGCAGCACAAGTAGCTGCATTTTATACTCGGTAATAAATCGTATATTCGATGCTTGCGAGCTTGCCCCCTCGATTTGACTGGGTCTGGGAGCAGGTCTTACAGCCTTTCAGTCGTGTACAATTTATTGCTCTTTTCGAGCTGTTATGTAGGTCAAAGTGGAAAGTTTGGAAAAGGAAGACACACGAGGTTGGACTTTGCAAAATCTAGGGCGAAAATTGCATTCTTGATGAGACCATACGATGGTTTGTAAGAGCTTTAGTAGTGCAAGGATTTTTATTCATGTTGTGGCTTTTTCATCTAAAACAAATTGTTAACCACAAATTTAATTAAAATACCTACGAGTAAACTAAACAATTTCAGGACTTTCTTTATTTTCATGAAATTCAGATTAGTTGCTAAAATTCATCATGAATTATTAAAAACAAGCTTTTCTTTATAAAATTTTAACGTAGATAATAACTACCTATCTGCGATCATAAGATCAACCTCGAAGCCCTATTTCTTTGAAATTTCATTTTGTATTTATGTTAAAGTTCTCATTGAGAAAAACGTATCATTTACTTTCCCATTTAGTACAAGCTTGTTATCTTTTTTTTTAAAGTATGGGACATCTTTTTTACTTTTATTTTGAAAAATGTTGGACTATTTATCTACATTCACTTGTTTCAAGTTCATAAGAACATTTTACGTATTTCTAGTACCAAAAGAGCTGCTACAATCAAACCATCTTCGAATCGACATTTCACAACCTGCAGGGCCACTACTCCGGAACAACCATCCCAATGTAAATCATTTATGTGTATGTACCATCCCAGAGCGGACGCTGCGATGCGCGGAATCTGATATAGTCGAAAGAGAATATTGCGTTTGGTCATGCGTGCGGGGCCGAGGGTTGGAATACCGGTGCGTGTCGCCTTTGAAAATTCATTGAAACTATTTATGGGGAACAAATATCTCTGATCCATTGCTTTCTTCCGTAATTTGCGCGTGAACAGTTGCCAATGTGGCTTGTCACGAATTTCTTCTTCGCCACGTGCTACTCGAATTCGTGAAATTGTTACTCGTACTTTTAGCGGAATGCAAGGATTTTCGGATGAAACGATGAAGCGATGTATAACTAGTTTGAAATGTTTGCGGTAGAAACTCCGCGTTAATTGGAAATTTTTTCGATTCCGAGGGTAGATGGACGTAAGAAAATTAAGGTACTCTAAAAAAATAGTAACGAAAACGGAAATGATAGAATTTCTACATCAGTTGGACTAGAAATTAAACGAAACCACTACGAATGTAATAACAAAAAAATATTATACACAGAGCCCAGCTGCAGAATGTGTATTGCATTGGAGAGGTTGTGTTTTTTTATACCACAACCAATACTGTTGATACAAAGGGAGAACCCTTGAAATCTGAGCACTTTTTTTTCAGTAAACTTGACAGCGTAACTTTTGTTCTAAATTCTAAATATAATCTTCCAAGTGACGATATCTGTAAAAAAGGTACTAACACAGTTTTGTACTATATGTATCATCTCTTGTTTTATACCTTGTCACATTTATGGATAACGACCATACCGTACAATATTAGCAATCTAGGCTAAACGATTGTTGTTAAACAAGATCTGTTTTCTCGTTTAACTCTCCCTGCACTATTACTAATTAGTTGAGAGTTCAGCTAATTAATCCATAAAGTGGTTGAAATAAAAAGAGGGCCTGGATAAAGAGATCGTAAAACCGTTATGTTGCATGGTTTTCATTTAGGATGTGTAAACCACAAAATTAATGGACAGAGAGTGAGAGAGCCAGGAAAGAAAATATCATCGAAAACGCAACTAGAGTCAAGCGCACGTATTTCCAGAGTAACAGAACAGGCACGTGTTTGCCGTTCCAGCTCGAAACTCGCCTAAACACGTATCAGATAAGCAGACAAGCTTCCATCAGCCGCATTACTCAACTGATTTGCCGCACTGTAGCATCAGAACCTGACACGCACACGCGTCTGTCTATGTACCTACTTGTCGTTCTCGGGAGGTAACAAACAAGATATTATACGCACGCAGAAGTGTAATACGGAAAGGCTCTACGATGATGGGACAACGACGGGGCAAAGCTGTTGTATGTCTACGCAGTGAAATTGTTCGCGTTGAATTTGATTGTACTTTGCAGTGCTGCATTTTTTTTAAATATGCGTCAAAGTAAACCAGCCAGAGGGTAGAGGAAAAAAAAAAATTTCTATCGGAAAACTTCTGGAAAAGTCAAGATTCTTTATTTCCTTTTTATACATTTTTTAACTTACTAAAATACCCAAGCCATACACAAGGACGAATCTTGTCTTTAACTCATTTTACTTACTCAAAAGTGCAAGGAATTCAATAAGGTGAAAGGCTTACATTAAAATAGCAATCTTTATTTAAACTAACATTTGCACAGAGTAAAAACTATTGAATCAGGATTTGAAGATAATTCTACAAATAATCACGGAAGCCTAGTCAAGTGGAAATGTACTCTTACCCTCCTGGTGAGTACAAAATACGCTCTCCAGCACGTAATGCATGACAAAACCTCCTCGAGCGAAAGAAAAGATGACAAAACTGCGCGAGTGAACAGGTAATGCAACATGTCTATAGCTGTGAATCGATTTTCCAAGCTGCAGCCGCGTGCGGCAGATCTGCTTCGGTTGGTATGGAGTCATTCGAGTCATTGACATTTGACAATGTCGGCGTGGTTATCGTTGTCGTCGTATAATCGCGCCTGGTGTGTGGGTGTTGACGCTGAAGCAGGGAATCCGTGGGTATTATGTAGGTGTACCACGCCGACAACGATCCCGTTTTTTCTTTTACGTGGTACAACATACCCCGTCTATCCTTACCCACATGGTGCAGAGACGTTACTCTGCGAAGATTCAAGTGGTTGTGTATACTCAATGATGTGAATTTCCAAAAAAATCATAAAGTATGGAGAACCAAAAGTCAAAATGGAAGTATTTGTAATTAATTTAACACCAAGTTAGAAGATATCAGTCATTAAGTCGTAAATTACGGGCCATTTACACTCAAGTATAGGTTTAGAATCAACAAAAATTGGAGTCTTATGTAACTTTAAACTTAAAATCACAGCTTCTTTTGAATCTGTTATAAAATAACGACGAGTTATGACCAAGTCAGTTAAACCGTAATGTCTACCAAATACTATGTATTTGTTTATACCACTTGTCTACTTACCATATACTTATCGTACCTGGATGGAAATAAATTACGAACTGAATCGGTAAAATCAAAGAGAATATAGTGACTACAAGTGATGGGCTTTTAAATCTGGACACTATGCTACAAGAAAAAATGCGATTCTAAAATTAAATTTATCTACCTCATAATGTTCTGGACATATCGACATAATTACGTGGACACACATGCAAACGCGTGCCTTTCACTACAGGTAATATATATACATACACACGATGAAGAATGTAATAATATAAGCTAGTGATACAAACAAACGAACGGTTTTATTGTTATACCCAAAATTCATTACAACTTACTGACGATTTCCGGCATTTGTTTTTGTAATTGATCGTTTCGTCAGCTATACAGCGTCAAATATGGATACCAGATCATAAATGTAAATAGTCTTTAACAACAATTTTTCTAGTGTTTAAAAAAAAATTTCTATCATGTTACTTTTACTGTTTTAATAATAAAAAATTAAACATGAATTTGTTGTATTGAAACGAAAATCAATCCACCCATTATCCGTATCATTTCTGAAGCAAAAATTAATGTTTTTCTATTTGAGATAACAGATTCAATAACTAACGTGATCGATGCATATTTTTAACATTTATTTACCTAACATGGATATATACTAATAAACGTGTACTATCTCCTATCCAATAATTGCCCAAATCACCAAAGGGGCAGAGGAGAATGGGTATCAGAGCACTCAGCACCGATCCAAGGCGCTATCATCGCATTATCGATCGATGCCCGTTTGTCCCTTCGATGCAACTTGACGTACGGTTACGGTTCGTGAATACAGGAAGACGTTGCCACCAGTGTTGCAATTACTGCTGCAGTAAGCTGTGTAAGTAGACACGTATTGTGTACACGCGTTTACGTATGCATGTACGTGACGACGTAATGACCGAGCAGCAGTGGCCGGACGTCACTGATAAGGACTTCGTTTGCTTAACTAGGGTTGGAGTAAAGGAGGGGACAAGTATACGACTTGTTGTTTCGC